ACAACTCGTCACCTTCATTAGATACAACTCGTCACATGAGATACAACTCGTCACCTTCATGAGATACAACTCGTCACCTGAGATACAACTCGTCACCTGAGATACAACTCGTCACATGAGATACAACTCGTCACCTGAGATACAACTCGTCACCTTCATTAGATACAACTCGTCACCTGAGATACAACTCGTCACCTGAGATACAACTCGTCACCTTCATGAGATACAACTCGTCACCTGAGATACAACTCGTCACCTTCATTAGATACAACTCGTCACCTGAGATACAACTCGTCACCTTCATGAGATACAACTCGTCACCTTCATGAGATACAACTCGTCACCTTCATGAGATACAACTCGTCACCTTCATGAGATACAACTCGTCACCTTCATGAGATACAACTCGTCACCTCATGAGATACAACTCGTCACCTTCATGAGATACAACTCGTCACCTCATGAGATACAACTCGTCACCTCATGAGATACAACTCGTCACCTTCATGAGATACAACTCGTCACATGAGATACAACTCGTCACCTTCATAAGATTATACAACTCGTCACCTTCATGAGATACAACTCGTCACCTTCATGAGATACAACTCGTCACCTTCATTAGATACAACTCGTCACCTGAGATACAACTCGTCACCTTCATGAGATACAACTCGTCACCTTCATGAGATACAACTCGTCACCTTCATTAGATACAACTCGTCACCTTCATTAGATACAACTCTCACCTTCATGATATACAAACTCGTCACCTTCATGAGATACAACTCGTCACCTTCATGAGATACAACTCGTCACCTTCATGAGATACAACTCGTCACCTGAGATACAACTCGTCACCTTCATGAGATACAACTCGTCACCTGAGATACAACTCGTCACCTTCATGAGATACAACTCGTCACCTTCATGAGATACAACTCGTCACCTTCATGAGATACAACTCGTCACCTTCTAGATACAACTCGTCACCTTCATAGATACAAACTCGTCACCTCCTGAGATACAACTCGTCACCTTCATGAGATACAATCGTCACCTTCATGAGATACAACTCGTCACCTTCATTAGATACAACTCGTCACATGAGATACAACTCGTCACCTTCATGAGATACAACTCGTCACACATGAGATACAACTCGTCACCTTCATGAGACAACTCGTCACCTTCATTAGATACAACTCGTCACCTCATGAGATACAACTCGTCACCTTCATGAGATACAACTCGTCACCTTCATGAGATACAACTCGTCACCTTCATGAGATACAACTCGTCACCTTCATTAGATACAACTCGTCACCTTCATGAGATACAACTCGTCACCTTCATTAGATACAACTCGTCACCTGAGATACAACTCGTCACCTGAGATACAACTCGTCACCTTCATGAGATACAACTCGTCACCTTCATGAGATACAACTCGTCACCTTCATGAGATACAACTCGTCACCTTCATGAGATACAACTCGTCACCTTCATGAGATACAACTCGTCACCTTCATGAGATACAACTCGTCACCTTCATGAGATACAACTCGTCACCTTCATGAGATACAACTCGTCACCTTCATGAGATACAACTCGTCACCTTCATGAGATACAACTCGTCACCTTCATGAGATACAACTCGTCACCTTCATGAGATACAACTCGTCACCTTCATGAGATACAACTCGCACCTTCATGAGATACAACTCGTCACCTTCATGAGATACAACTCGTCACATGAGATACAACTCGTCACCTTCATGAGATACAACTCGTCACCTTCATGAGATACAACTCGTCACCTTCATGAGATACAACTCGTCACCTTCATGAGATACAACTCGTCACCTTCATGAGATACAACTCGTCACATGAGATACAACTCGTCACCTTCATGAGATACAACTCGTCACCTTCATGAGATACAACTCGTCACCTTCATTAGATACAACTCGTCACCTTCATGGATACAACTCGTCACCTTCAAGATACAACTCGTCACCTGAGATACAACTCGTCACCTGAGATACAACTCGTCACCTTCATGAGATACAACTCGTCACCTTCATGAGATACAACTCGTCACCTTCATGAGATACAACTCGTCACATTGGATACAACTCGTCACCTGAGATACAACTCGTCACCTTCATGAGATACAACTCGTCACCTTCATGAGATACAACTCGTCACCTTCATGAGATACAACTCGTCACCTTCATTAGATCAACTCGTCACTGAGATACAACTCGTCACCTGAGATACAACTCGTCACCTTCATGAGATACAACTCGTCACCTTCATGAGATACAACTCGTCACCTTCATGAGATACAACTCGTCACATGAGATACAACAACTCGTCACCTTCATGGATACAACTCGTCACCTTCATGAGATACAACTCGTCACCTTCATGATACAACCGTCACCTGAGATACAACTCGACACCTTCATGAGATACAACTCGTCACCTTCATGAGATACAACTCGTCACCTTCATGAGATACAACTCGTCACCTTCATGAGATACAACTCGTCACCTTCATGAGATACAACTCGTCACCTTCATTAGATACAACTCGTCACCTTCATGAGATACAACTCGTCACCTTCATTAGATACAACTCGTCACATGAGATACAACTCGTCACCTTCATGAGATACAACTCGTCACCTTCATTAGATACAACTCGTCACCTGAGATACAACTCGTCACCTTCATGAGATACAACTCGTCACATGAGATACAACTCGTCACCTTCATGAGATACAACTCGTCACATGAGATACAACTCGTCACCTTCATGAGATACAACTCGTCACCTTCATGAGATACAACACGCGTCACCTTCATGAGATACAACTCGTCACCTTCATGAGATACAACTCGTCACCTGAGATACAACTCGTCACCTTCATGAGATACAACTCGTCACCTTCATGAGATACAACTCGTCACCTGAGATACAACTCGTCACCTTCATGAGATACAACTCGTCACCTTCATGAGATACAACTCGTCACCTTCATGAGATACAACTCGTCACATGAGATACAACTCGTCACCTTCATGAGATACAACTCGTCACCTTCATGAGATACAACTCGTCACCTTCATTAGATACAACTCGTCACCTTCATGAGATACAACTCGTCACCTGAGATACAACTCGTCACCTTCATGAGATACAACTCGTCACCTGAGATACAACTCGTCACCTTCATGAGATACAACTCGTCACATGAGATACAACTCGTCACCTTCATGAGATACAACTCGTCACATGAGATACAACTCGTCACCTTCATGAGATACAACTCGTCACCTTCATGAGATACAACTCGTCACCTTCATGAGATACAACTCGTCACCTTCATGAGATACAACTCGTCACCTTCATGAGATACAACTCGTCACATGAGATACAACTCGTCACCTTCATGAGATACAACTCGTCACCTTGAGATACAACTCGTCACTTCATGAGATACAACTCGTCACCTTCATGAGATACAACTCGTCACATGAGATACAACTCGTCACCTTCATGAGATACAACTCGTCACCTTCATGAGATACAACTCGTCACCTTCATGAGATACAACTCGTCACCTTCATGAGATACAACTCGTCACCTTCATGAGATACAACTCGTCACCTTCATGAGATACAACTCGTCACCTTCATGAGATACAACTCGTCACCTTCATTAGATACAACTCGTCACCTTCATGAGATACAACTCGTCACCTTCATGAGATACAACTCGACAACTCGTCACATGAGATACAACTCGTCACCTGAGATACAACTCGTCACCTTCATGAGATACAACTCGTCACCTTCATGAGATACAACTCGTCACCTTCATGAGATACAACTCGTCACCTTCATGAGATACAACTCGTCACCTTCATGAGATACAACTCGTCACCTTCATGAGATACAACTCGTCACCTTCATGAGATACAACTCGTCACCTTCATGAGATACAACTCGTCACCTTCATGAGATACAACTCGTCACCTTCATTAGATACAACTCGACAACTCGTCACATGAGATACAACTCGTATCAACAACGAGAACCATGAGTGTGATGTGAGGGAACCATGAGTGTGATGTGAGGGAACCATGAGTGTGATGTGAGGGAACCATGAGTGTGATGTGAGGGAACCATGAGTGTGATGTGAGGGAACCATGAGTGTGATGTGAGGGAACCATGAGTGTGATGTGAGGGAACCATGAGTGTGATGTGAGGGAACCATGAGTGTGATGTGAGGGAACATGAGTGTGATGTGAGGGAACAATGAGTGTGATGTGAGGGAACCATGAGTGTGATGTGAGGGAACCATGAGTGTGATGTGAGGGAACCATGAGTGTGATGTGAGGGAACCATGAGTGTGATGTGAGGGAACCATGAGTGTGATGTGAGGGAACCATGAGTGTGATGTGAGGGAACCATGAGTGTGATGTGAGGGAACCATGAGTGTGATGTGAGGGAACCATGAGTGTGATGTGAGGGAACCATGAGTGTGATGTGAGGGAACCATGAGTGTGATGTGAGGGAACAATGAGTGTGATGTGAGGGAACCATGAGTGTGATGTGAGGGAACCATGAGTGTGATGTGAGGGAACCATGAGTGTGATGTGAGGGAACCATGAGTGTGATGTGAGGGAAACCATGAGTGTGATGTGAGGGAACCATGATGTGATGTGAGGGAACCATGAGTGTGATGTGAGGGAACATGAGTGTGATGTGAGGGAACCATGAGTGTGATGTGAGGGAACCATGAGTGTGATGTGAGGGAACCATGAGTGTGATGTGAGGGAACAATGAGTGTGATGTGAGGGAACCATGAGTGTGATGTGAGGGAACAATAAGTGTCATGTGAGGGAACCATGAGTGTAATGTTCAGAACCATGAGTTTGATGTGAGGGAACCCAGAAGTAGTGCAGAACTCTCTTTCTGTGTCTCAGCGATGAAGGAGCAGAGCTTTGAGGACGAGGTGATGAGGATCCTCGAGGAAACCCCGAGCGCCAGGAAGGCTCTGCTGGAGAACCATGAGAACCTGCTGAGGGTGGCCGACTACTGCTGCAGCAACTACCTGCAGGTACTGATACTACTACTACCTGCAGGTACTGATACTACTACTACCTGCAAGTACTAATACTACAACTACTACTACTACTACCTGCAGGTACTAATACTACTACTACTACTACTACCTGCAGGTACTAATACTACTACTACCTGCAAGTACTAATACTACAACTACTACTACTACCTGCAGGTACTGATACTACAACTACTACTACTACCTGCAGGTACTAATACTACTACTACCTGCAAGTACTAATACTACAACTACTACTACTACTACCTGCAGGTACTAATACTACTACTACTACTACTACCTGCAGGTACTAATACTACTACTACCTGCAAGTACTAATACTACAACTACTACTACTACCTGCAGGTACTGATACTACTACTACCTGCAAGTACTAATACTACAACTACTACTACTACCTGCAGGTACTAATACTACTACTACCTGCAAGTACTAATACTACAACTACTACTACTACCTGCAGGTACTAATACTACTACTACCTGCAGGTACTAATACTACAACTACTACTACTACCTGCAGGTACTGATACTACTACTACCTGCAAGTACTAATACTACAACTACTACTACTACCTGCAGGTACTGATACTACTACTACCTGCAAGTACTAATACTACAACTACTACCTGCAAGTACTAATACTACTACTACTACCTGCAGGTACTGATACTACTACTACCTGCAGGTACTAATACTACAACTACTACTACTACCTATAGGTACTGATACTACTACTACCTGCAGGTACTAATACTACTACTACCTGCAGGTACTGATACTACTACTACCTGCAGGTACTAATACTACTACTACCTGCAAGTACTAATACTACAACTACTACTACCTGCAGGTACTGATACTACTACTACCTGCAAGTACTAATACTACAACTACTACTACTACTACCTGCAAGTACTAATAGCCGCTTTCACACCAAGTACTTTGCCGAACTTAGTGCCAGCACTTAGTGCCAGCACTTGGTGCCAGCACTTAGTACCCCCATGGATCTTAGTACAGATCGTGTTCACACCGGAATCAGTCCCTGAGGGAAGATTGCGCAAATGAAGTCGCTGACGTCACTTCTTCTTCTTCTGCTTTGGGTTTACTGGCAGGCCGCAAACAGCTTCACGGCGTATACTGCCACCCGGAGTCCTCTGTGTTGCCAACTTGGGGACTTTGTCGTTCAATTCGGCGGCTTTCCAAACACTCCGGCTACTTATTTTTGTCAAAAGCGATTAACGACTAATGTAAAGACTTGTAATGGTGTTATTAGAGACTTTTCTGGTGTTTGGAGACTCACGTGTCGGGGGACACCTTCCTTCTTCCTTCTCTCTGTCTGTACCTGTGTACTCTCATGTTCCCAATAACCCAGCTTCCCCACATGTCTTTCTTTTTGGTGTCTAAATACGCCGGGATCCTGAGTCATGGCTGATCCTGTTGCTGTGGTCCTGAGTCCTGGATCGCGAGCCCTGGATCTTGAGTCGTGGCTGTGCCTGCTGCTGTGGTCCTGGATCATAAGTCCTGGATGGATATCCTCGTGGATTCATCTTCTTATTACAGACACATGCATTTCCAAACATTTGGTCTACCTATGTTGTAAATGTATTATCTCTTCGATTTACACACGGCATCTATTGCACGTCTGTCCGTCCTGGGAGAGGGATCCCTCCTCTGTTGCTCTCCCTGAGGTTTCTCCCATGTTCCCCTTTAAACTGTGGGTTTTCTCTGGAAGTGTTTCCTTGTACGATGTGAGGGTCTAAGGACAGAGGGTCTAAGGACAGAGGGTCTAAGGACAGAGGGTCTAAGGACAGAGGGTGTCGTATTGTCATACTGATATTCTGTACAAACGGTGAAGTCCACTGAGACAACATTTGTGATATTGGGCTATATAAATAAACATTGATTGATTGATTGACGTATTGTTCTGCAGTTAGCGAGCCGCGGGTGCTACCGTGAGCCCCTCTGCCCTCCCATAGTACTCACAGGCGCTCAGTTGCCTCCCGCAGCAGCTCAGCTGCAGTCAGAGCAGAGAGGAGACACACTCTCCCGCGTCGAGACCATAGGTCGAGACTGCAAATAAATTGTGCATGCACCAACTGCCAAGCCGTCCTGGTTTTGAGCCGGATTTAAATGTAACAGTCACTTAATCACCTCGTCCACTGTGTGTATGCCTCTCAGCTAAACATCCACGCAGGTCATCATGTCACAGTCTCTAAGTAAACTGTATTCACAATAGTACAGAAAGGAGTGGGAATCAAACCCTGAGTTTAAAGGATGGTTGAAGCCATTGATTGGAGATGACACACGGGCATACTGCCTTTAAGGGAGATTTCTACTAAAACTATTTCTACTCTCTACTTTTTCTAATAGAGACATTTCTGATCTACTGTCGTCTGGATTTACTCTGATGGTTTCAAGTTTTGATCCTTGAAGGGGGTGGAACGTTTTTTTACTGCAATTACAGGATATGCAAATTAGGTGATGACGTCATTTAGGGACTTCTGGTGACTTTTCGGACAGCCAATAGCTACTTTCCTTACTATGGAGTTGGCAACCCGGAGTCCTCGGCCAGAAGTCCCCGGAGTTGGGGAAGGCTTCAGTAGAAGCTGCTGGGACTCCCAGCAGCTTCTACTGAAGCCTTCAGAGGAAATCACCAGAACGCCGACACCTCATCATCTCCACCGCTCCCATGTTTTTTTTGTGTTGCCATAAGTTAGTCTCTCTCCGTTGGTGCGCGGGGCGAATGCTAATGCTAATGCTAATGCCAGCAAATACAATGGCGGCTTCACAAAACTTTTCAGAGTTTTACGGGGCGTGGTTTGCAATCCGCCCAGCCAATCGAAATTGGTACTTTTTTCTCCGCAGGAAAGTACCACCTCTCTAGCAGGCACTAAAATGGGGGTTAAAAGTTCTCGGAACTAAGTTCTCTTTTTGGTGTGAAAGCAAAATTCCAGGCGCTAACGGAACTAAACGGGAAAAGTACTCCGGTGTGAACGCGCCTAATACTACAACTACCTGCAGGTACTAATACTACAACTACCTGCAGGTACTAATACTACAACTACCTGCAGGTACTAATACTGCTACAACAACTACCTGCAGGTACTAATACTGCTACAACAACTACCTGCAGGTACTAATACTACAACTACTACCTGCAGGTACTAATACTACAACTACTACCTGCAGGTGTGTACTAATACTACAACTACTACCTGCAGGTGTGTACTAATACTACAACCTCTTGTACTAATGCCACAACAAGCTAGGTTAACACTGTCCCCTGTTCCCAGTTGTGGTGCTAAGCTAACAGTATTTCTTGTTTCTAGTCTTTGTGCTAAGCTAACAGTGTCCCCCTGTTTCCAGTCTTTGTGCTAAGCTAACGGTGTCCCCCTGTTTCCAGTCTTTGTGCTAAGCTAGGCTAACCCTGCTGTCTCCATCTGTAGTCAGGTGACGGCAGCCTGAAGGCATTGGAGGAAACAAAGAACTTCACCACCCAATCGCTGGCGAGCGTGGCCTATCAGATCAGCTCATTGGCTGGCAGTGTGCTGAGTCTGCTCGACGCTCAGACCAATCAGCTGCGGCACATGGAGTCCTCCATCAACCTCATTGGTCAGGTGAGCTAATTAATGGGGGATCAAAATACCCAGATGCATTGTGGGAAGTGTGGGCTCTGGTGTTATTGGACTGATGATCAAACTGTAAGCTTTCTGAAGTTAAATATGCTAATGAAGCTACACACTGCTCAGTGCTGAGAATACAGATTGTGCGTGTGTGTGTGTGAGTGAGTGAGTGTGTGTGAGAGTGAGTGAGTGTGTGTGAGAGTGAGTGAGTGTGTGTGAGGGAATGTGTGTGTGTGAGAGAGTGTGTGAGTGAGTGTGTGTGTGTGTGTGTGAGAGTGTGAGGGAATGTGTGTGTGTGAGAGTGAGTGAGTGTGTGTGAGAGTGTGTGAGGGAATGTGTGTGTGTGAGAGTGTGTGTGAATGGAGCCTCTGTTCTCTGTCTGCTTTGTGTCTGCTGTGAATGGAAGTGTCTCTCAGTAGATGTATATCCTGTGTGTGTGTGTGTGTGTGTGTGTGTGTGTGTGTGTGTGTGTGTGTGTGTGTGTGTGTGTGTGTGTGTGTGTGTGTGTGTGTGTGTGTGTGTGTGTGTGTGTGTGTGTGTGTGTGTTTTTAATCTTCTTACTTCCTGTGTATCTTTGCTGTTTAATTATTATGTTTAATAATCATTATTATTATTGTTGCTATAATGCATGCAGGGGTATTCAATTGCATTTCTAGTGAATTGTCAACCGGGGGGGGGGGGTGCTAGTGAAGTATTGTAAGTACGTCAGCTAAATGAAATGTAATGTAAATTGTCAACGGGGGGAGCCTCCCTGCGGGGACATGGTGCACCTCTGTCGCCCGCCAGTGCAACTTTGATGATGCCGTTTCAAAAACAACATGACAGCCAAAAGTGTGCAAGTGACACACGTTCTCTGCCAGACGCTGTCTCCTCTCACTTTAGGTCACTTCACGTTCTCTGCCAGACGCTGTCTCCTCTCACTTTAGGTCACTTCACGTTCTCTGCCAGACGCTGTCTCCTCTCACTTTAGGTCACTTCACGTTCTCTGCCAGACGCTGTCTCCTCTCACTTTAGGTCACTTCACGTTCTCTGCCAGACGCTGTCTCCCTCACTCTTTAGGTCACTTCACGTTCTCTGCCAGACGCTGTCTCCTCTCTACTTTAGGTCACTTCACGTTCTCTGCCAGACGCTGTCTCCTCTCACTTTAGGTCACTTCACGTTCTCTGCCAGACACTGTCTCCTCTCTACTTTAGGTCACTTCACGTTCTCTGCCAGACGCTTGTCTCCTCTCACTTTAGGTCACTTCACGTTCTCTGCCAGACGCTGTCTCCTCTCACTTTAGGTCACTTCACGTTCTCTGCCAGACGCTGTCTCCTCTCATCTTTAGGTCACTTCACGTTCTCTGCCAGACGCTGTCTCCTCTCACTTATAGGTCACTTCACGTTCTCTGCCAGACGCTGGTCTCCTCTCTCTTAGGTCACTTCACGTTCTCTGCCAGACGCTGTCTCCTCTCACTTTAGGTCACTTCACGTTCTCTGCCAGACGCTGTCTCCTCTCACTTTAGGTCACTTCACGTTCTCTGCCAGACGCTGTCTCCTCTCACTTTAGGTCACTTCACGTTCTCTGCCAGACGCTGTCTCCTCTCTCTTTAGGTCACTTCACGTTCTCTGCCAGACACTGTCTCCTCTCTCTTTAGGTCACTTCACGTTCTCTGCCAGACGCTGTCTCCTCTCTCTTTAGGTCACTTCACGTTCTCTGCCAGACGCTGTCTCCTCTCTCTTTAGGTCACTTCACGTTCTCTGCCAGACGCTGTCTCCTCTCACTTTAGGTCACTTCACGTTCTCTGCCAGACGCTGTCTCCTCTCTCTTTAGGTCACTTCACGTTCTCTGCCAGACGCTGTCTCCTCTCACTTTAGGTCACTTCACGTTTTCTGCCAGACGCCGTCTCCTCTCTCACTTTAGGTCACAGCAAAGTTAGCTGAAGTGAACTAGCTAGATTTCACTGTTCCTCGTTATTTTTTTCTCACGCTGTGCCTCCCCTGAAGCTCTCTGGCGCCCCCGGGGAGGCGCATCTCACACTTTGAAAGCTGCTGGTATAGACGGTTCGTCCACACGAGGCCGACACGGACACGTGGAAACGGAGGCCTCTAACGATACACTTTGATACCGGCTCCCAAAGCGGGTCTGGAGACTCAACGCCCTATACGATCATAGCCTCTCCCCACCTCTCCTGCTCACCCCCGCGTCACCCGCGTCATTGCTGATGCGTTTCGCCAACAACAATAATAATAATAATAAATTCAATTTATAAAGCACCTTTCATTGCTAGCAGCAAGGTGCTACAGGAGGCATCATAAAAACAAACAAAATAAACAAAAGTTTTAATCAAAAGCTTTTTTTAAAAGAAAGGTTTTTAGGCCTTTCTTGAAGGCGTCAGTGGTCTGGGGAGTCCTCAGGTGGTCTGTGGAGTCCTCCTCAGGTGGTCTGTGGAGTCCTCCTCAGGTGGTCTGTGGAGTCCTCAGGTGGTCTGTGGAGTCCTCAGGTGGTCTGTGGAGTCCTCCTCAGGTGGTCTGTGGAGTCCTCCTCAGGTGGTCTGTGGAGTCCTCCTCAGGTGGTCTGTGGAGTCCTCAGGTGGTCTGTGGAGTCCTCAGGTGGTCTGTGGAGTCCTCCTCAGGTGGTCTGTGGAGTCCTCAGGTGGTCTGGGGAGTCCTCAGGTGGTCTGGGGAGTCCTCGGGTGGTCTGTGGAGTCCTCGGGTGGTCTGGGGAGTCCTCAGGTAGTCAGTGGAGTCCTCAGGTGGTCTGTGGAGTCCTCCTCAGGTGGTCTGTGGAGTCCTCAGGTGGTCTGGGGAGTCCTCAGGTGGTCTGGGGAGTCCTCAGGTGGTCTGTGGACTCCTCAGGTGGTCTGGGAGGGAATTCCACAGGCGAGGAGCAGCTGCACAGAAAGCCCGATCCCCCATTGTGCGTAGTTTGGTCCTGGGGGGGCGAAGCAGATGGTTGGTTGTGGAGCGGAGGTTGCGTGTGGAGGTTTGAGATGTGAGAAGTTCCTTCAGGTATGGAGGAGCGTTCCCGTGGATGCACTGATGGGTCAGTAGTGAGATCTTGTAGTCGATCCTGAATGAGACAGGAAGCCAGTGGAGGGAATGAAGGACGGGTGTGATGTGATTGTATTTTCTCACCCTCATCAGGATCCTAGCGGCACTGTTCTGTACATATTGGAGCTTCTGAAGGCTCCCGCTAGGAGTCCGGATGAGGAGAGCGTTGCAGTAGTCGAGCCTTGAGGAGACGAAGGCATGGACCAGCTGTTCTGCATCTGACAGGGAGAGTGTGGGATGGAGTTTAGCAATGTTCCTGAGGTGGTAGAAGGAGGTTTTGTACAGGTGTTTGATGTGGGTGTCAAAAGTCAGATGTCTGTCAAATCTTACACCCAGGTTGGTAACTGCTGTGGAGAGGGGTATGTCAACAACAACAATGGCGGATCACAGGGTTGCGTTCGTGCTCCAGACGCTACTAACCATACTACAGATGTTAGTGCAACATCTACAGCTCCTCTACCACAACCATCAGCAACAATAATAATAATAATAATAATAATAATAATAATAATAATAATAATAATAATAATAATAATAATAATAATAATAATAATAATTATAATATAATATAATATAATATAATATAATTATAATATAATGATATAATGATAATAATAATATAATATAATAATAATATAAAATAATAATAATAATAATACATTATGATAATAATAATAATAATAATATAATATAATAATAATATAATATAATAATAATATCATATAATAATAATAATAATAATAATATAATATAATAATAATATCATATAATAATAATAATAATATCATATAATAATAATAATAATTATAATATAATATAATATAATATAATATAATAATAATAATAATAATCGGTCTTCTTCGCTGCTTTTGGTGTATTTTGTGTCGGAAGTACAGCGCCACTTACAGGCCCGGCATATGTACTACAGCGTCTCCAGCATTTTCGAGCGTTTTCGTGTGGACGGAAGACTTTTTTGAAATTAACTTCGGTTCGAAATCGGTTTCGTCTCCGTTAATATCTGTTGTCAGTACTCGTTATATTCTTGATGAGAATACTCAGACAGAGGGAGAACAGAAGCACTATGAGTGCTGTGGTTTCAGACAGAGGGTGAACAGAAGCAGTCTGAGTGCTGTGGTTTCAGACAGAGGGTGAACAGAAGCAGTATGAGTGCTGTGGTTTCAGACAGAGGGTGAATAGAAGCAGTATGAGTGCTGTGGTTTCAGACAGAGGGTGAACAGAAGCAGTCTGAGTGCTGTGGTTTCAGACAGAGGGAGAACAGAAGCAGTATGAGTGCTGTGGTTTCAGACAGAGGGTGAACAGAGGCAGTCTGAGTGCTGTGGTTTCAGACAGAGGGTGAACAGAAGCAGTATGAGTGCTGTGGTTTCAGACAGAGGGTGAACAGAAGCAGTCTGAGTGCTGTGGTTTCAGACAGAGGGTGAATAGAAGCAGTATGAGTGCTGTGGTTTCAGACAGAGGGTGAACAGAAGCAGTATGAGTGCTGTGGTTTCAGACAGAGGGAGAACAGAAGCAGTATGAGTGCTGTGGTTTCAGACAGAGGGTGAACAGAAGCAGTATGAGTGCTGTGGTTTCAGACAGAGGGTGAACAGAAGCAGTATGAGTGCTGTGGTTTCAGACAGAGGGTGACCAGAGGCAGTATGAGTGCTGTGGTTTCAGACAGAGGGTGAACAGAGGTAGTCTGAGTGCTGTGGTTTCAGACAGAGGGTGAACAGAGGTAGTCTGAGTGCTGTGGTTTCAGACAGAGGGTGAACAGAAGCAGTCTGAGTGCTGTGGTTTCAGACAGAGGGTGAACAGAGGTAGTCTGAGTGCTGTGGTTTCAGACAGAGGGTGAACAGAGGCAGTCTGAGTGCTGTGGTTTCAGACAGAGGGTGAACAGAGGCAGTCTGAGTGCTGTGGTTTCAGACAGAGGGTGAACAGAGTGTCTCCCTCCTTTCAGACGGTGGAGATGCACAAAGAGAAAGTTTCCCGCAGAGAGATCGGCGTCTTCACGGCGGCGAGGAGAGTCCCGCGCTGTCACAAGATCCTGCCGCCGCTACTGGCTGCTGGATCAAAGCCCCGCCCCCCCTACAGCCGCCGGCCAATCAGCTACCAGCAGCTGGACGGGATCGGCCACGGCATTAAGGTCTCACACACACACACACACAAACACACACACACACACACACACACACACACACACACACACACACACACACACACACACACACACACACACACACACACACACACACACACACACACACACACACACACACACACACACACACACACACACACACACACACACACAGTCATCAAAGAAGAAGTCAAAGAAACAGAAGCAGAAGTTTGATGCTAACAGGAACTGTTACTGCAGAGCCACAGGAACTGACTCTGCAGTAACAGTTCCTCCTTCCTCCCCTTCATCTTCTTCATCTTCTTCATCTTCTTCATCCTCCTCAGTACAGGATCTGTAAACAGTGAACACCAAGCTAACAGCTAGCATCCAGCGTTAGCTATCTCCTGCAGGTTTTAACACCGGT